ACACGTTGACCCCTCCTGATTTATTGCTCGAACAGGTCATCACGCAGGACGCGTCGGTGGCGATGCTGGACATGTGGCCCCTGTGGAACCCGTCCATCGTGTGTGGTCCCTCGGCCGCGGCTAATTCTCCACAGCAGCAGCGGGGGCGGGGCCTTCCCGACGAAGATCTGCTGGCCACGTACAGTCCGTCCCCGCGCAAGCGCGACGGGCCGCAGTACGTCCGGCGAAAGCGGAATCACGACGACACGGCGGCGACGTCGGCTTCACAAGACACCGAGCTCGGCGCTGCTGATGGGCGGCAGCGCAGCCTCAAGCTCCGATTCAGGCAGCCCATGCACCGCGACGAGGACGAGGACGAGGATGACGGGCACACTTCGGTCGTGGCCTTGGGTCCACGCCCGCACGCTGGCGGCAAAGCAAAAAGAGAGGATGACGAAGAGGAGGAGGAGGAGGCCGAGCGGGAAGAAAGGAAAGGGCCCGAGGCAAAGGCCCACAGGCCACAGACCCAGTCAACAACCGAGGAGAGCGGACGCACCCGAGACATCCTGTTCTGGAGTGACGATGACGATGACGATGACGAGGACGAAGAGGGCAACGCGCGGGGTGGCGTCGGTGGCTCGAAACCGCTGTCCGCGTCCTACACCAGGAAGAGGCGGCGACCGCACGAAGGCGACAATGCCGGCGGCGGCGGAAGTGCGGCAGCGGAGCAGCAACGGAAGGGGCTCGCGTTGAAGCGGGGAGCACCACCCTCACCATCTGCCGCGCCCAAGAAGAGGACCCTTCAGGAATCCGCGCAGCAGAAGAACACCAACAAGCGGGCGGCCACCAAGACCCGCACCAGTCGCGCACACGCGGAGGAGGAAGAGGAGGGCGACACGCCGCCATCATCATCGTCGTCACCGGTGGCCACCTCCAAGTCCGCGTCCGGCGCGCAGGCAGCCCGCAAGCGCGCGCCAAAGGGTGCGGCCAAGGCGCCGTCCGGCGGCCAGCAGCAGAGAGAACGAAAGGGCAAGAAGGGTCGCGCCGTGGCGACCAGCATCCTTGACTGTCCTTCACCAACGACCACGACCACCACCAGAGCCAAGTCTCGCCATCGGGAGGCGCCGACCCAGAGCAAGGAACTGAGCCCCAACAAGGCGCGGCCTACGACGCTGGCTCGCTCGCGCAGCCGGACGCGGCTGGAGAAGGAGGAGGCCGAGGAGGAGCGCAAGACGCGGTGGATCAACCCTTACGAGCGCATGGCCGAGGAGATCGACGAGGAGGCGGCGGCGGCGGCGGCGGGGCACGCAGGGTACGACGACGACGACCCGGAGGACGACCCGTTCGACTTCGACGGGCACCAGAAGCGGCGGGAGAAGGCCCTCCGCCAGGAGCAGGACGAGCTGCTGGCCTTCCTCGGCAAGAAGGCGCTGCCCACGCGCCGCCCTACCGTTGCCGCCCCACGCACCACCGCCGCCGCCGCCATGAAGACGAAGACGAAGACGCTCGGTACCGCCTCCTCCCGCGGCGGCGGCGGCGGCGGCCGCGATGTGTTTGACTTCGATGATTTCGGCGACGAACACGACGCGTGAGCCAACGCAAGTTGCTGCCGAAGAAGCCAAGAAAGGAAAATACCGTTTGTGAAGGTAAACAGTGTCGACGGGGCGCTGCGTCCACACGACCCCCCCCCCCGTTTAAGATTTTAAGAGGGTGCAGCAGCCACGCCCTCGCCTCCCCCCCCCCGCCCTAAGGCACCAGACGAGGACAGGAGTCCCACCTCCCCTCCCTATTTTATTATTTTTACCCCCCCCCCAAGGGTTGATAAGACCAGAAGATGGAGGGAGGCCTCGACCAGAAGGGGCGCAACCGCGAAGGCCGGCGGAGGCGGCGGACTCGGGTTCCTGGAGGCGGGTACCCGCGTGTGGGTCCCCCACGCCGCCAAGGCCTTCTGCTGTGCGGAGGTGGTCGGCGGGCACCACGTCTCCGGTAGCAGCAGCAGCAGCAGCAGCGGGCAGCACCTCACCGTGGCCTACCTCCACGACGACGGCAGCGACGGCGACCAGGCGGGAGACCGGAAGGAACCCTCCAACGTGGTGGCGGTGGCCCGGGCGGACGTGCTGGGGCGCGTGGAGGACAACTGGCTGACTCCCCTCGACGACCTGGTCGATCTCGCTGAGCTCAGCGAACCCGCCATCCTGCACCACATCAAGCAGCGCCACGCACGCGACCTCATCTATGCACGTGACCTTGCCCCCCCCCCGCACACACGTGCACCTACCGCGGACGAGACGACGTTGCTTACTCACCACCGCTCTGCCCTGTGCACATGCGCACGTGCTGCTGGTGGGTGGTGGTGGTGGTGTGCGTCGTGTGCGGTATGTCGTGTGTGTCGTGTGTGCAATTTGTGCTGTGCGCGGTGCGCGGTGGTGCCGTGTGATGTGGACGAGGCCAGACCAACGTGGGCCCCATCCTGGTGAGCGTCAACCCGTACAAGGTCCTCACGAACCACCACGGGGAGCCCCACCTGCAACGCTTTGCCAAGGCCAAGGCCGACGGGTCCGGCTCGCCCCACATCTACGGGGTGGCCGCTGCCGCCTACCAGCGCCTGCTCGCCGAGAATCGCGACCAGTCCGTCCTCATCAGGCACGTACCTACGACGCGGGCGGGTCCGCGAGCGGCACCGGTGGACTTGAGATCTCCTCGTCCTGGCCACGACGGCGATGATGGTGATGATGATAATGAGGATGATGATGATGGCTCCCCGTACGCTATTGCACCTTACGACGTGCACGTCGTGTACGTGTGCGTGCGCTCAGCGGAGAGTCGGGTGCGGGGAAGACGGAAGGGACGAAGCTCATCCTCAAGTACCTGTCCCACGCGAGCGGCCTCCTCCTCGCCAGGTCGCCGGCCCACCACGCCGGCGGCGGTGGCGAATCGCCATCAGCCGGGAGCATCGAGCAGCGCCTCCTTCAGGCCTCTCCCATCCTCGAGGCCTTCGGTACGCAACTCACCACCACCACCACCACCACCACCACCACCACCACCACCACCACCACCACCACCACCACCACCACGACCACCACCACACACACCAGTTGTGAACGAACCAATCTCCGGACACACATTCACGAGACGACCAACGATACATACTATTTGTCGGTGCGCGCAGGCAACGCCAAGACGGCCCGCAACAACAACTCCTCTCGCTTCGGCAAGTTCGTGAAGATATTCTTCGACGCCCGCGGGCGCATGCAGGGCGCCGAGGTCATCAGCTGTACGCGAGAATGCGCTTCCGCTGATGTTTGCTTACGCCCTGCTGCTGCTGATGATGATGTGTTGGCCCCTTCCCTTTCGTACCCCTTCTCGCTAACCTCTTGTGTTGGTGTGGGCAGACCTGCTGGAGAAATCACGCATCTGCACGCAGAGCCACACGGAACGCAACTACCACTCCTTCTACCAGCTGTGCGCAGGACTCGATGAGACACGCAAGAGTACGCACTACAGCTTTGCTGGCCCACAACCGTGGAATCTCCACTTCTCAAATAACGATGCTGCATCGGTTTGCAGAGCGCTTTGGGCTGCGCTCAGCGGAGCACTTTCGGTACCTCAGCCAGGGCTCCTGCACCCGCATTGACGGCGTGGACGACGCCAAAGACTTCCACACACTTACGGTATGATTGCATTGATTTGCTGGTCCTATTCACACTCACTCTTTCCTTTATTTATCATCCTGTGTCCACCTTGCAGGATGCGCTCACCGTGCTGGGCGTCGGCGCAAAAGAGCAAGACGCCATCTTCCAGATCATGGCTGCCATTTTGCATCTGGGCAACATGCAGGTACCGACCACCATACGTACATTCATTGTTTGTTTTTAGTGTGGCCACTGGCAGGCACGACGCCACGCGCCTGATTGCTCACTCTCGCGATCGGTGGTCCAGTTTTGCAAGCGTCGCGGCACCTCTGCCAAGGGCGCCATGGTGGATAGCCAAGAGGGTACACGTTCTATTTCTCTTTTATCTATTTTGTTTTTGTTTTTTTTTGTTTTGTTTTGTTTTTCCCCCCCTACTCCAGCACTCTCCTGTCCACCGCGGTGGACGTGACTGACCGGGGTCTCGCAGACTTGCGTCTGGCGGCCCAACTGCTGGGGCACCGCGCGGAGGAGCTCGAGCGGGTGCTCTGTAGCCGCACCATGGGGTCCTCCTCCCGCAACTCCATCTACGTCATCCCTCTCTCCCCCGACGAGGTACGACACGACACGACACGACACGACACGACACGACACGACACGACACGACACGACACGACACGACACGACACGACACGACACGACACGACACGACAACAAACACACACACAATTCACTTATCCAATTCCTATCCTGTTGCCACGTGTCGTGCGACAGGCCCGTCAGTCGAGCGATGTGTTGTCGAAGGCCCTGTACGAGGCCCTCTTCCATTGGCTGGTAAAGCGCATCAATCAGACCCTCGCGCCTGCCCGGTCGTCGGCGCCCGCCTTCAAGTCTATCGGCGTGCTCGACATCTTCGGGTTCGAGATCTTCGACACCAACTCCTTCGAACAGGTGTCGTGCTCAAACACAACACACACAACACACACAACACACAACGCGCACAACGCACAACACAAACCCCCCACCACCACCAACCGACGGTGCACGGTTTCCTCGCACTCACCCACTGGTTGTGTTCTCGAGCGCAGTTGTGCATCAACTACGCCAACGAGAAGCTGCAGCAGCTCTTCAACCAGCACATATTCCAGCAGGAGCAGGACGAGTACGAGGCCGAGGGGATCGATTGGATCACCATCGAGTTCAACAACAACCACGAGTGCGTGGAGCTCCTCGAAAAGGTCCGCCTCCTCCTCCGCCTCCCTCAAAGGGTAGTGGTGGCGGTGCCTGCGTGGGTTTGGGCCGCAGCTGAAGTACGCCGCGTGTCGCGCGTGTGTCATAGAAACCTGCGGGCGTGTTTCCGCTGCTCTCGGAGGAGTGCCGGGTGCCCAAGGGAAGCGACCAGGGCTTCCTGGCCAAGGTCACGAACGCCCACGCCCGCAGTCCCTCCTTCGTCAAGTCCCGCCCTGACAGGTGCGACCACCACCACAACCACCACCACCAGCAGCAGCGCAGCACCTGCCCGACGAACGCCGTCGCAGGTAACCCACCACCCGCGTGTGCAGGGCGTCGCAGCACTTCAAGGTCGCCACTATGCGGAGGTGGTGGAGTACTGCGTGGAGGCTATGACGACCAAGAACAACGACCACATGGCCGTCGACTTGACCCTGCTCCTCCAGCAGAGCAGCGCCTTCCCCTTCCTCGCCTCCCTGTTCGCCGGCACCGGCACCGCCACCGCCGCCAAGCAACGCCCCACCCTCGCCGACCTCTTCAGGGTGCGTCCGCCTCTTGTGTAGCACCTGCCTTCCTGCCCGCCCGTTCGCCCTTCCTACTACTAGGCCGCTGCTTCCTTCTCTCTCTCTCTCTCTTCTCTGATCTCTTGCGCGGCATCTGCCGTCTCACACGAGCGATGCTCCAACATTCCTCCTTCGCCATCAGGCCCAGCTGGACCGCCTCGTGGCCACTCTCTCGGCGACGGGTACGTCGCTGCCCCTCCTCGCCCGAAGACGCCTTTGGTCCAACTACTGCTGCGTGGCTGGTGGTGGCTGGTGGCTGGCGGTGGCTGGTGCCGGTAGATCTGCACTTTGTGCGGTGCATCAAGCCCAACGGGGCCAAGCAGCGGGACCTCTTCGAGCCCTTCGAGGTCCTCCGGCAGCTGAGGTGCGCCACGCCCACGCCCCTTCCATAGGCACACGCGCGCACGCACTCCCTCTTCGTGTGGTAGGGCGGCGCCTTACACACACACACACACACACACACCCAACTATGCGGTGGCCAGGTGCGCGGGCCTCATGGAGTGTGTGCGGATCCGGCGCGACGGATACCCCGTGCGCCTCCCCTTCCCGCACTTCTACCGCCGGTACCTACACCAACCAACCTACCAACCAACCAACCAACCAACCAACCCCCGGGTTTGAGTGGAAGAGAGCTGCACCACCCCTCCAAACGAGGACCATCGCGGCTGATGTTGGAGCGGCGGCGGCGGCGGCGGGCCAGGTACCGGGTGCTGCTGCTGCTGCGGCAGAAGGGAGCCGATGCCGCGTGGAGGAGCGAGGAAGCCGCCCTGCGGCCCGGCGACGCTGAGGCCGCCCACGCCTTTTACGTCGGCGCCTGTGAGGTTCGTCGCGTCCACGCGATTCTCTTGCTCGCCCCCCTCTCCGCCACCACCTGCTGACCTCGTGGCGGTGGCGGCGCCGGCGGTTGGCAGGCGTTGGTGGAGCACATCCATAAGCAGCAGGCCCACATCTGCTTCGACGGGGTGCAGATGGGCCGGTCCAAGGTCTTCCTGGGCGCCAAGGAGGTACGCCCGCCGCCACCACCAGCCACCACCACCAGCCACCACCACCAGCCGCCGCCGCCACCACCACCACCAGCCACCACGCGCAACACCACCACCACCACCCATATATGGGTGGCCTCACGCCCCTTTGCTTGGCACCATACGGCACGGTACAGTACGTCCAGATCAACGGCCTTCGCGATGCCGCGCTGCACTGCTTCGCCCTCGTCATCCAGACTCGGTTCGCCCACCCGGTGATGGCGGCGGCGGCTGATGGTGGCTGGTGGTCGTGGTGGTGGTGGTGGTGATGGTGGTGGTCGTGGCGGTCGTGGCGGTCGTGGCGGCTGTGGTGATGGTGATGGTGATGATGGTGGTGGTGATGGAATGAGAGAAGGACGGGAGGTCTCACATCGTAGGGGGGGCACGGGGGTGGTGTGCGCAGGTGGCGGGCGTATCGAGCACGGCAGCGCAGGCGGAGGGAGAAGGCGGCCATCGTCATTCAGGTATACACGGGTTATTTGTTTATTTATTGTATTTTCACCGATGCACCACGACGGTACACTCGACGCTCATCACGCAGGAGCTGCTGCTGGCCTGGGGGGCTGGTGGGTGGTGGGGTGGGGTGGCAACAGAGATGTTGGCGGCGGCACGTGGGACGCAGGCTGTCGCGTAGCATGGCCCTGGCGAGGGAGGCCCGGCTCAAGGAGGAGCAGCGGCGACAGCAGCGGGAGCAGCGGGCCAGGCAGCGCATGTCCCAATCTGCAGTCGTGGCCACAGGAGGAGCGGGAAGGAGGAGGTCTCTGGCCTCCCCGCGGATCTCGCGGGCGGCGATGACGCCACCATCGACGCCGCCGCCGGCCGAACGCAAGTCGCGGGTGCGAGCGGTGCGCGGGTCCCTGCGCGCCCAGGGGTCCTACCCCGACCTGCGCACGGTCTTTGGCGCGCCCGAGTCCCCCCCTATGCCCCCCACGCCCCTCCCCTGGTTCCTCCCCCGCGACAACGGCCTCCCCCCGCGTACCAACCCTCCCCTCTTTTTCCCCTTTCGTTCTCTTTCGTTCTCTCCTCCGCGCCACTCTTGCGGACGACCACGCGACGTAGTAGGTTGCGAGTGGGTGGGTGCGAGTGTTTTGTTGTTCACACGCGACGTGTCTCCGCCGAGGTACAGCGAAGAGGTTCGAGGGCCACGTGGGGTTCACCCTGAGCATCGACGGCGCTCGCCTTCTCCCCTCCAACTGCGTAGCCGCCACGGTACCACGCGCGCATGCCCCCCCCCCCAATGGTAAGCCCCCCAATGTCAGGCACTGAGGGTTTCCTCCTCCCCTCCCCCCTCTTGTGTTCGTGTGGCGGTGGCTGGCTGGCTGGCGGTGGCTGGCTGCGGGGGGCGGCGGGCGCAGGTGCTGGGGCAGCTGTACCGGGCCACGGGCAAGAAGATGGGTCCGGAGATGCTCGCCCTTCCCGCCCTGGTCTCCTCCGCACATAACCCCGTCTTTGCGGTGCGTGTGCGTGTGTCCCTTCTCTAGACCTCCTTCTCCCGCAACAGTCCCTCTCTGGCGCAGAAGGGACCTCGTTGCGATGAGTTCATCCCCCCAATCCGCCACGGTAAATGCTAAGATATGGTTCTATGGTGACGTGTGTGTCCTGTGCGTGCGTGCGTGTCCTGTGCGTGCGTGCGTGCGCGCTTTGCATTGCACAGTATCACCGTACGATACGGATGCGGATGACCGACGCCACCCTCACGCTCGTGGCCAAGGTGCTGGCCTGGAGAAGGGCACCGGGCAGCAGAAGGTGCTGGGCTATGCCACCCTCAACGTCTTTTGCCTCGCCAACTCCCGCCGGCAGCCCGCCGACCCGCACCTCGCCCACCCTCAGGTACTCCGGCCCGCCGCCCGCACGTGTCATGCCGTACCAGCCTCCTGACCCTCAACGCGTGCGCGTGCGCGGTCGTGGTACGTCCAACCAGGTGGTCCTCAATGAGGGCTGCTTCCAGGTGCCCCTCAAGCAGGCGCCGCCGGCCGGGCAGAGCATACGGCACGGCATGCTGCACACCGCCCCGCCCGTGCCCTGCGCCTCTCTGCTTCTCCGGATCACGCCCGTGGCTTCCGCCGCAAGCACACCGCCGCCCTACGAATCGGGGGCCTACGACTCCACCATGTGCGCCTTCAGCAAGAGCGATGAGGCCAAAGCCCTTGCCCGCCTATCGCGCCCCAACGTCCGGCTGAGCGGTACGCACTGCCCGACGCTTCTCTCACGATCTTGAAAATGCCCTCCCATCAGTCCCGAGTCTCACCACACCCTCTCCCCGGCCTTGCCAGGTGTGCTGGCCCAGTGCTGCGACGACGAACAGGTGCGCAGGGAGGCGGCGGAAGGTGGCGGACCGGCGGTGGAGGCCTGGTTCAGTGCGACCTTCTCCAACCGAACCGCAGACGACAAACCTCTGCGCACCTTCCTCGACCCCACGCCCGACGCCTGACCGAAACGCGCCGACATCCTCTCATTATTTTCTTTTTCTTTTTTTAAAAAAACAAAATAATGTTTGTGTGTAGTGGATGGTCATCATTGGAAGTAGGACTCCTCCTTCTCGATCTGGATGGTGAGGTGCTTGACAAAGCCGGAGAAGAGGTTGGTGACCTTGGCCAGCACCAGCTGCTCGTCCGTGTCCTGCTTCACCCGCAGGAAGAAGCTCCCCACATACTCGTCTGGCGGGAGCAGCAGCAGCAGCAGCAACAACATAAGGGGGTGGGTGCGTGGACGGATGGGGTGGTGCAAACGCGCAGTTGTGGGGGTGGGGGGGTGGGGGGTACTGGGGGAGAGCGCCCAGAAGTGCTCCTTGCGGCATTCGAGCACGCCCTCGTACATGGCCGCCTGCCGGCGGATATCATCGATAGAATGAGAAAAGGAGGCCACCGGTGTGCGGGCGTGGGACGTCGGTCGGGTGCGTGTGTGCGTGCGTACCTCCGAGAGGCTCTTGCCGAGGCGGTCCTTGATGACGTTGGGGGTCGTTTGGAGCAGCACCTTGCCCGTGTGGCGTGCGAACGGCGTGGCCACCGTCAGCAGCACGACCGCCGTGAAGACGGCCACCACCATGTCCCCCATTGCGAGGCCCCTGGTGCACACGACACAACAAACACAACAAACAGCACGACACGACACACCCGTGACGGGTGAGCATCGCACACGCGCGGCAGCGCAACCCCGGAGGAGGAGAGGAGAGGAGGGCCACGGTACCACTTGAGGAGGAAGGGCACCACGAGCGTGGCCACCGTGACGGCGATGGTACTCATCACCGCCCACGACTGATCTTCAGCCTCGCTCGGCGACTCTGCCAACACCCAGCCAGTTCCACAAACCATGCATCACCATTAGCAGCAGCAGCAGCAGCAGCGACAGAGCAGCAGCAACAGCAAACACGTGTTTGCCAATCGGATGCCTCGAGGGGGGGGGCAGGGCAATAGCGGTCTAGTCGAATGGGCGACGCCGGCGGCGGTACCGAGGGTGGTCAAGCGGCGCAGGGGCTGGAAGGAGACGAGGCAGACCAGGTTCAGCCCCACGCTCACGAGCCCCACCAGCGCCACCTCCCAGCTGTGTCCATCCCCACCACAACCCCCCTCCCTCCTGTCAATATATTGTTTATATTGTAATTGCACATATATATATATATAAATATGCAATCAATCTCTATTTAAAATGTGTATAGTTGATGACGCATTAGAATGAAAGATAAAAAATATAGAAGTGCGGTGGCGGCGCGTCAACGGGAGGGAGTGGGAAAGGGAGGGGGAGGAGGGGAGGGGGGAGTGTGCCTGGTGAGGTCTTCGGGCGCCTCGCTCTCGATGAGGAGGTGCTCGGCGGATTCGAAGAATACGAAGATGGCCGCGAACGAGTGGCACGCGCTGTTCACGAACCCCGCCACCACCTCGTACCTCTGGTACCTGCGCCACCCACCACCACCGCACCACCGGCCATCGATCAGTCGCGTGTGCGCACGCGCGGGGAGGGCAATGGAACGCAAACTTCGACACTCACACACGTGTGGGCGCGTGCTGAGTGAGTGGGCGGGCGGCAGGCGGCTGGGGCACACACACACACACACACACACACGACACACACAACACACACACACAGCACACGTACCCGTAGGTGTAGCTAGGGGTGGGGCTGAGGCGAGCACAGAGCATGGCCAGGAGGGTGAGGCTGAGGTTCACCGCGTTGAACACCGTGTGGAAGCTCAACGCCATCAACGCTGCCGCATTGGCCACGCACGCACGCACATCATGACACGTCACCAACGACACCACACCTTTCGGTCAGCCGGGAGGAAAGCTGGACCACGAGTTGCGGTCGTTGTTGAAGAAGAAGAGAAAAGAAAGAGGCGTGTCAAGAGGCAAAGAGGAGGGGGGGAAGGTGTATACCGAGGCTGCCCGAAAGGTAGGCGTGGAGGAACTGGAGGAGGCCGAACGCGGCGAACACGGCGAAGAAGGCCACCACGCGACGCGACTCGGGCTGGTTGAGGAGGCCCTTCACGGCGCTACGCCGGCCCCAGACCCCGCTGCCGCCACCGGCCCCGCCGCTGTGGGGGGTATACCCCGCCGCCCCTCCGAAATCCTCTTCCATCAGCTCTCTTGTGTACTCTCTTGGTGGCCCGGCCTTTTTCTCGCCCTCTTTTCTCTCCTTTTTTTCGAAGCTGCCGAAATTTCAAGGCGGAATTCGTGGTACCCAAGCCTCTGGAATGTTCTGCACGCGCCGGCGGGCGGGGAGAAGATCGGGGAGACCCGCAGACGAGAAAATAAAGGCCGCCCTTCCTTGTGACTCTCGATCCTCCCAACACAACAACACAACACAACATGGCAGCCACGGCGGACATCGGTTTGGTGGGTTTGGCGGTCATGGGCGAGAACCTCGTGCTCAACATGCTCAACCACGGCTTCACTGTGGCCGTGTACAACCGCACCACGTCCAAGGCACTTCCCCCCCCCACTCGTACTCGTGTCACCAGGTGCAATCATTTTATTTTGTTGTTTTGAAAATCAAAATCCATTATTCGCGGATGAGGGCTTGAATTTATCACTATTATTATTATTATTATTGCCCACTGAATAAGAAGTGTTGCGTGGTTGGGCTCTGCGGGCGACCAATGGGAGGGAGGGCCGGGTGAAAAAGAGCAAAGCGGCGCGGCGTGCTAACACCCGGGGGTGGTGGTGGTGATGGCGGGTGGTGAGTGCAGGTGGACAACTTTGTGAGCGGGCGTGCGGCGGGCAAGAGCGTGGTCGGGTGCCACAGCCTGGAGGACCTGGTGAAGAGCATCAAGCGGCCGCGCAAGGTGATGCTGATGGTGATGGCGGGCGAGGTGGTGGACATCTTCATCAACGCGCTGGCGCCGCTGCTCGAGGAGGGCGACATCATCATCGACGGCGGCAACTCGCACTTCCCGGACTCGAACCGGCGCACGCGGGACCTGGCGGCGCGTGGGCTGCACTTTGTGGGCGCGGGCGTGTCGGGCGGCGAGGAGGGGGCGCTGCTGGGGCCGTCGATCATGCCGGGCGGGGCGTGCGAGGCGTGGGAGGCGGTGAAGCCCATCTTCCAGGCCATCGCGGCGCGCGTGGAGGACGGTTCGCCGTGCTGCGACTGGGTGGGCCAGGGCGGCGCGGGCCACTTTGTGAAGATGGTGCACAACGGCATCGAGTACGGCGACATGCAGCTCATCTGCGAGGTCTACTTTGTCATGAAGCACCTGCTGGGCATGGGCAACGACGAGATGCACGCCGCCTTCGCCGAGTGGAACCGCGGGGAGCTCAACAGCTACCTGATCGAGATCACGGCCGAGATCCTGGCCAAGCGGGACGACGAGCAGCCCGACGCGCACGTGGTCGACCTCATCCTCGACACGGCGGGCCAGAAGGGCACCGGCAAGTGGACCGTCGAGGCCGGCCTCGACTTTGGCGCGCCCGTCACGCTCATCGGCGAGGCCGTCTTCGCGCGCACCCTCTCCTCGCTCAAGGCCGACCGCACCGCCGCCGCCGCGGTCCTGGCCGGCCCCGCCGGGCTGCCGCCCTTTGCCGGCGACCGCGCGACCGTGCTGGGCCACCTCAAGGACGCCCTCTACGCGTCGAAGCTGGTCTCCTACGCGCAGGGCTTCATGCTCATGCGCGCCGCCGACGCCAAGTTCGACTGGAAGCTTAACTACGGCGGCATCGCCCTCATGTGGCGCGGCGGCTGCATCATCCGCTCCACCTTCCTGGGCAAGATCAAGGAGGCCTTCGACCGCGACCCCGCCCTCACCAACCTCCTGCTCGACCCCTTCTTCCGCGACCAGATCGACAAGGCCCAGGCCGGCTGGCGCAAGATCACCGCCCTCGCCGTCGAGCACGGCGTGCCCGCCCCGGCCATCGCCTCGGCCATCTCCTTCTACGACGCCTACCGCACCGCGCGCCTCCCCGCCAACCTCCTCCAGGCCCAGCGCGACTACTTTGGCGCCCACACCTACGAGCGCGTCGACCGCGACCGCGGCCTCTTCTTCCACACCAACTGGACCGGCCGCGGCGGCGCCACCCACTCCACCACCTACAACGTGTAATCACACACTTACACACACACACGCCACACACACACACACACATTCGTCGAATACCAAGCAACAACAACGCGCAGTGCAGTGAAGTGTGCGTCAAGGACAAACAATAAACGTGTTCATTCATTCGTTCTCTCTTTCGCTCTTCTTGAACGTTCTCTCTTTCGCTCTTCTTGTGCGTGTGCACAAGCTTACTTAGAGCGGGTCGCGCTTGGCGGCCTCGCGGGCCTGGGCGGACTGGATGTCTTCGACCACCTTGCGGAGTCGGTCGAGGCGGGCGGCGCGGAGCGAGCGGGTGTTGCCGAAGGAGCGCACGGCGTGGGCGTGGGTGCCCTTGATCTTGGTGGCCACCACGGCCATGCCCTGCTCCTGCGGCACGATCGAGAACTTGCCGCCGCCGTACTTGCGGACGAAGGCGTCGGGGTCGGCCACCACCTGGTCCCGGAAGGCCGCGAGGGCCGGGTCGACGGCGCTCCTGCTCTGGGGCTCGACCTGGTAGTGGTAGCCCTGCGACACCTGCCCCTCGTGCGGGTGCTCCTCGCCCACGAACACCCTCAGCCGCTTCAGCCGCTCCCACCTCAGCTTGTTCTTCGGCAGCTGCAAGCAGACCACACGACACACACACACACACACACGACACACACAACACACGACACACACAACACACGACACAATGAGCGCACAGTGGCAGACCGACCGATGCGACAGTGGCAGGAGCCGCGATGAAGTGAGTGGCGAGTGGTGCTAGCACGCACCATCTTGGAGACGGCAGTGCGGATGATGGCATCGGGGTGCTTGTAGAGCATGTCCTTGGCCTTCACCTCCTTGAGACCGCCGGGGTAGCCCGTGTGCCACCGGTAGAGCTTCTGCTTCCACTTGTCGCCGGTGAAGATGAGCTTCTCCGCGTTGGTCACCACCACGTAGTCGCCCGCGTCGACTGCCGATGAAAGAAGAGATGCACACACAATCGACATGGCAGCCATGGTGTGGCGAGTAGTGAGCTCACCAGCGAATTATGCTACTTCCGGAAAATCGTGCTATCCGGATTGAGGGAGGAAAGAAAAAGATTGAGGTGCGCACAGGCGGGGTTGTAGGTGGGCTTGTGCTTGCCGATGAGAAGGCGCGCGATTCTAGATGCTGCATGTCCCACCTTGAGCCCTCGGCCGTTTACCACATGCCACATGTGGGTGTTGGTCAAGGGTTGCTGCCGTGAAGGAAGAAAGTCGATTAGTCCTACGTTTGCTTCATGTTTGGTGAGAGGAAAAGGGTAGGCACCTTGCAGGGCGCGAAGGACGTCGTCATCTTGAGGCCAATTCAAACAAAATCAGATCAAAATGTCCCCAGCGGAGAGGAAAAGGAAGGAAATCACCAAACATAAACGAAACATTTGGAAGCTGCCAAACATGTAAAACGAAACAGGGGAAAGAGAAGAGAATAAATTTTGGGCCTACTCCAAATCACACAACGACACAAAGATGGCACGAAATGAGGAGAAGGCGCAGTCTATGCTCAACAGGTGGTGGGCCTTCAAGTCGGGTGACCTCGACAAGAAGGAAAGGAAGCGACCCTACCTTGCCTCCAAGTGCAACAACACCATAGCCTGCGAGAAATGGCGTCTACAAATCTTGCACGAAATTGGACAGAAGGTGCAGGAGATACAGAGCGGTACGTGCTACTCCATTCAATTGACGCTTGTTGCTCGATCTATCTCTTTCTCGCTTTCCGCTCATCCACCTCCCTCGTATGATCGCAAAATTTGATTTCCACATTCCACAGCTGCGCTGGGCGAGCACAAGCTGCGACAGCTCAACGACGAGATCAACAAGCTGATTCGAGAAAAGGGGCACTGGGAACGGCGAATCCTTGAACTGGGTGGGCCGAACTACCTGGTACGCTCGCGTGGTGTGAGGGAGTGATGATCAGGGTAAGAGGCGGTAGCAGCTTACCGGTAAGCTGGTCGTGGGGGGGGGGTTGGTGAGTGCAGAGCAGCTCGGCGGTGGCGGGAGATGACGGCGGCCAGACGGTGGAGCCCGGAGGCTACCGCTACTTCGGCGCTGCGCGCGACCTGCCCGGTGTGAAGCAGCTCTTCTTCCAACAGCTCCCCGAAGGTACCTCGAAGCTAGCATTTGAACACAACGCACACGACACGACACGTACGCACGCACACACACGCATGGTTGTCGGCGCTGACCCGACGCGTCGGCACACGCACACACCACAAAGCGGAGAAGAAGAAGAAGACGAGGGCGGATCTGTATCGCGCGGTGGACGCGGACTACTACGGGTTCCGGGACGACGAGGACGGCAAGCTCGAAGAACTCGAGCGCGCGGCGGAGGCAGCGGCCGTGGAGGCGGCGGTCAAGGAGTGGGAGCAGGCCACGGGCAAGCGACGCAAGCTGGAGGACGAGGAAGACAACGACGAGGAGCTCTCGGGAGCCAACGTGTTCCGCGTGCCCTCTGCCGAGGCCGTCGAACGCGCCCTCATCGAGCGGCGCAAGCAGGTACCGTACCGCCACTCACGTGAAGCGATCGATTCAGTTCTGGGGCTGCTGCTCTCGTACTCACACTCCAACCTGTGGTCGCGGCTGCACGTGCACAGGACCTGCTGCGGAAGTATTCCGGCGCCAAGTGAGGCGTGGCCAACCATTGCGTGCAATGTCAGCTACGGCGGTGGTGGGCCATCGGCAACCCCGAGAGAACCACGGACTGCCCACTTCACCCATCCCCCCCCCCATGTAAAGCGATTGATTCCGTCCTATCCATCCACCGTGACCTCTTCTTTTTGCTGCTGCTGCTGCTGCTGCTGCGAGGAATGAAGCTGAAGAACAACAAATCTGTTCTTTGTCTGCTCGACCTTGCGTGGCCGTGCGTGAGGAAGGTTATTATGTATGCACAGCGAGGTCAGGTGGACTCGTAAAGCTTGAGGAGCGAGTCGGGCGAGGCTGGAAGGCCAGTCGCGGGGCATCGGCCGTGGGTCGTGACGGAGGCGTGCAGGCACGGGTAGCAGAACACGTAGCCCGTGCCCGCCACCATGGCCGGGTTCGTGCGTCGCTTCCCGCACAGTCCGCACTCGCCGTCCGCCTTCTTCCGCCCGGCCTCCTCCACCACCTGCACACAGTCATCGCACCCAACGCGAACCAACGGAGCCGGACGTCATGATAACGAAGATGATGAATGATTGATGAATGATTGAGGATTGATGATGACATTGGTGAAGTGCGTGCAGTGTCGGGAGGGAGACGACGTACGGGAGGAGGGCGTGGCGGGGGCGGGGTGGGCAGGGCGGGTGCGGTCTGCTTGGTGTTCTCGGCGTACCACCACTCGAGGAACTTGAACACGAAGAGCACCAGCGGGAGGGCGAGTGCCGAGTAGTCCTCAACGACGTGCCACGCGCGCGCCAGCACGCGACCCACCGTGCGCACTACCGCCGCCGCTCCCCTCGCGTCGCCCACGCCCCAGCTCTCCGCACCGGCCGCCCTTCGTCGCGCCGTGTCCTGCGTCATCTCGATCTGCGGCAATCCAAAAAATGAGGCGTGTCGTACGCGGCGTGTCGCGTGTTGCGTGTGCGGTGGTGCGTGTTGCGTGTGCGAGATGGGGGGGGGTGAAGTGTACGGTGTCCTCGAGGGAGAGTCGCTGGACTTGGAGGCGCTGCAGGTGGAGGAAGGGCGTGTAGTAGCGGGTGTGGTCGTAGAGGTAGAGCACCTGGTACACGAAGAAGAGGCCCTCGTACACCGCGCTCGCCCACGGGTACCCGGCCACGAACAGACCGCGCGCCACCCGCACCACGCGCCGCCACCGCCGCCACCACCGCGCGCGCCGCCCGCCGTCTTCGCCCGCGGTGCCCTCGTCGCCTTCGCCGTCGCCATCATCGCCCTCATCATCGTCCGATCCCTCCGTCTCCAGCCACCCGCTCAGCGGCCCCGCCATCCGCTTGTGCAACTGGTCGAGCTTGGCCTTGACGTAGGGCAGCCCCACCTGGTCCGAATAGAGAAGAGAAAAAGAGAAGAAGAAGAAGAGAGAAGAGATTAGAGTGGTGGTGTTGTGGGTGTGGGGTGGTGTGGTGGCGGGTGGGTGGGTGGGTGGTGGGTGGTGCCAAACGGTAGCGTACGAGCAGGAGCAGCGACACGCGTCGGTCGTGGTCGGTGAGGCGGCTGCCCGCTGTAGCCGGCGACGGCGACGCCCCCGAGTCGGGCGCACCGGTGGTGGGTGCCGCCACCCGCACCCGCTTCAGGCTGTAGAAGTGCTCCGAGAACGACGCGTCTGGCGAGAGGTAGTAACATCATGAATGGACGGAGTCAGCCATGACGTTGTGTTGATGGCGGCGGCGGCGGTGTGGCAATGGTGGTGGTAGAGTACCGTGGCGGCGCAGATGATGAGCTTCGAGGAGCAGGCGCAGGCCGTAGAAGAGCTCGTCGTGGTGCGTCACGCCCCACTCCAGACGCGGCCATCGCACGGCCGCCACCTGCAGCAGCAGCCCATGCCGTGACGTGGCAGCGTCAGTGCGGTGGCGTGGGTGGGCAACGGGGTTGCGGGTGCATCTATTGAAAGCGCAAGATGCAGGGCGCACGCGAGGCGAGCCGTGGCAGTGGCAGAAGGGCGAGGAGAGGGGTTCGTACGGAGAGGGCGTATTTGAGGGCGGGGCCGAAGAAGGGGAGGAGCTCCTGCTGGGCTACCATCTCGAAGAAGGAGGGCCGCTGGGCCTCGCCGCTCGAAAAATTGGCCATAAACATGGCGGGCCGGCTTGTTGATGAACGTCGATCGCTGTTGTGGCCACGGTCTAATGTTTTCTTTTCAATTTTCCTCCAGCGGGAAGAGGGAAACGAAAAAGTAAAATCGAGCACGAGTAGAAGCACAAAGCACAGACGCCACGTCGCCACGAAGAGAGCAAGACAACAGCATAAACATGTGGTGGTGGTGGGTGTCCCTCGTAGTAGCGCTGCTAGCGGTGCCCGCAGCGATGGTGCTGGTGGTGCGGCGACGCCTGGCAGCCAAGCGTGCCTCCCTCGCACCGCAGGGCACCCTGCTGGTGGGCTTCTTCCACCCCTACTGGTAGACATACACCCCTGCCCCCCCCCTTCTTTATCTCGGCACCGCACATACGGCATTCTGTCCCGCTCGCACATACGGCAACGCCTCGTGTGTGTCGTGTGCCTCGTGTATGTGTCGTGTGTATGTCATGTGCCTGGCGGCATTCATGTACTAATGGGTGTCTGCAGCAATGATGGCGGTGGCGGGGAGCGGGTGTTGTGGTGCGGCGTGGAGGCCCTGCGGGAGGCCCTCCTCCGACGCAACGTGCCGGCGCGCTTCGTCATCTACACCGGAGACGACGCGCCGGCCGCCGCCATCCTCGCCAAGACCAAGGTGCCGCACAGCCCCCCTCCCCCGAGCTCTCGTGATCCACTTCCTGGCCTAAGTGTGTGTGTGTGTGCATCGTGTCTCGTGCGCCGTGTGCGTGTTGTGTGCCGCGTGTGCCGCGTGCTGCGCAGACCAATTTCGGCATCGAGCTGCCGGAGGGGTCGGTCGAGTTTGTGCGGCTGACCAAGCGCGAGTGGGTGGAAAAGCGCCGATGGCCGCGCTTCACCATCCTGGGCCAGAGCCTGGGCTCCATGCTCCTCACCTGGGAGGCCCTGCAGCTCTGCCCGCCCCACCTCTTCGTCGGTAAATCGAGCTTCGCTTCGCTTCGTTCTTGTTCTTTCTTTCTCTTCCACTCGTGCGAGCGCGTACTAACGACCGCGTGTGCGTTCGATGCGTGTCGTGTTGCGCAGACACGATGGGCTACGCGTTTGGCTATTGGCTGGTGCGCGTGTTCGGTGGGTGCAAGGTCGGGAGCTACGTGCACTACCCGACGGTGTCGACGGACATGATCGGGCGAGTGACGTCGGTGCACAAGATGGTCTACTACCGCGCCTTCGCCTGGCTCTACGGGTTCATGGGCGGTGGCGCCCATGCCGTCATGGTCAACTCCTCGTGGACCGAGGCCCACATACGCAGCCTCTGGCGCATCCCCAGCCGGTTCGTGCGCCACACCACGACACCACGACACCACGACACCACGACACCACGACATCACAACACACTGTGGAGCTGTGTGCTGATGATGTAACGGTGTGGTGTGTGCAGCACGCGCGTGGTGTTCCCCCCGTGTGACACGACGCAGTTCCAGGAGATCGAGCTGGATGTCGCCCAGCGCAACAACGTCATCATGTCCCTGGGTACCTTTCTCTTCTCTTCTCTCTCTCTCCTCGTCGCACGTACGTGGGCGTCGGCGTTGTGCTTTCTGTCGCTCACGTGGCCCAATCAAACGACAGCCCAGTTCCGCGAGGAGAAGGACCACAAGCTGCAGGTGCGGGCGTTCGCACGCCTGCTGCAGAGCCCCACCTTCACCAGGCACGCGTGGGCCGACTCCGTGCGCCTGCTGCTCGTCGGCGGCTGCCGCGGACCCGCCGACCAGCAGGTGAGACGCCGACCCTTGACTCTCGACCCTCGACCACCACCACCTCTTTTCATCGAAACCGCAGAAGGCCGCGTGGTTCACTCACATGGCGGTGGTGGTGGGGTGCAACAGCTGTTGGACGAAGTGGCGGCCCTGGCCCTGGAGAAGGGCGTGGTGAATCGCGTGGACTTCTTGAAGAACGTGGGCTGGGATGAGCTACGACGGCTTCTGGGCCACTCGGCGGTGGGCCTCCACACCATGTGGTGCGAACACTTCGGCATCGGCGTCGTCCAGATGATGGTGCGCGCCTCCCCCCACGCACTGCGTGTCTTCAGCCGCAGTCAACGACCAGTCAACAGTTGACTAACCACAACTGACCGCAAAACCCAACCGAACCGGGGCCACGCAGGCTGCAGGTCTGGTGACGATCGCGCACAACTCGGGCGGACCCAAGACGGACATCGTGGAGCACGGGCAGACGGGCTTCCTGGCGGCCACGGAGGAGGAGTACGCCGAGTGCATGGAGCGGGCGCTGGTGGCCAAGAACGAGCGGCCCGAGGCGCACACCGACATGCAGCGCTCGGCCCGCCGCTCCGCCCAGCGCTTCTCGGACGAGGTCTTCGCCGAGCAGTTCGCCGCCTGCCTCGTCCCCCTCGCCGTCGCTGCTCAGTGAAGTCACAAACAACACGCGCACGCCTCAACTGCATGTTGTTGTTCTTCTTCTTCTCTTTGATTCTTCCGGGTCCGAAGGCCTGAAAGAGGGGCCACACGAGCTGTGTGTTGTGTTGTGTGGCGAGCGGGCTCGAGCCGGATTAGCGCGAGCGGCTTCGCGAGCGGGAACGGCGGCTGTAGTCGGGGGAGCGGCGAGAGCGGGGGGAGGGACTCCTCCTGTCCCTGCGCTCGTAGGGGTCGTAGCGCCGGCCGCTGTAGCTGCTGCCGCCCGACCGCCCTCCATATCCACCGCCGCCACCATATCCGCCACCGTAGCGGCCGCCGCCGCCGCCTCCATAACCGCCGCCGCCGCCGCCGTAGCGAGGCAAAGCTGTACACACAACACACAACACAACGGGGTAGCGAAGAGGTGGTGAGGAGTCGAGATCGGGCCTGATGGGAAAGGAATGGTTGTTGGGGTTGGGGTTTGGTGGGGGGGGGGCGACGTACAGGAGCCCTTTTCGTGGCCCAAGTAGCGGCCCGGCGTGGGGGACCTGGGTCTGGCGCGCTTGGACTTAAGATGAGGAGGTACAAAAGTGGGTGGTGGTGGTGGTGGTGGTTGGAGAGCGTTAGCTTAAGCGCCGGCGGGGCCAGGTGGGGTCACGACATGTCGCGGTGCACTTGCTTGCGTGGCAGCGAGCTTGACACTTGTGACGGTGACACTTGCAGGCGCTCATCAAATTTGAGTGGCGATACGCTGCTTGTTGTTGTTGTTGTTGTTTCTGCTGCTGCTGCTGTTGCTGTTGGCTTGCAATTTGCTCACTTGATGGCCATCATCAGCTCGTTGCCGGCGAGGGTTGTAAGATTTGTTGTTGGCATTTGCACTTTTGTTGTTGTTGTTGTTGTTGTTGTGCTTGTTGATGATGTTCTTGAGGTGTTGGTTGGTTGTTGTAGTTGTTGTGTGAAATTCTATGTTCTAAAGGCCGCGCGCATGACCCGGGTTAGTCCAACACGAGCAGCACTCCACGTCCCACCGTGCGTGCGCCGCAAAAGCGAGAGAGCGATGTGTGCAATTGTGGAAAGGGAGGAGGGGGGGACGCCGGTTGTACCTTCTCAACGCTGATGATGCGGCCGTCCAGCTCGGTTCGGTTGCCGCCCTCCATGGCGTCCTGCGCCTCGGTGTCCGAGCCCATCGTCACGAACGCGAAACCCCTCGAATCGCCCGTCCTCGGGTCGCACACCTGGTCCCGACCAAGTAGAACAAAAAATACGAATAATAGTAATAAGCACAAATAAAACAAACAAACAAAATACAATAATTATACACAAATATAATGAAAAGGGGATGAGCAGGATGATGATTGTACCAGGTGGGCCTTGACGACCTCGCCGAACTTGGAAAACTTGCGCTCGAGATCGGCCTCCCTCGTGCGGGAAGCGAGGCCGGTCACGTAGAGCGTGTCGCCCGGATTGATGGTGCGGGGAGGCGGCGATCGGTCACGACGGGGCGAACGATCGCGAGAGTCACGACGGGGCGAGCGTCTGCCGCGCGGGGAGCGAGAGCGCGGCGAGCGGGCACGCGGGGCGGGCGAACGAGAGCGCGGCGAACGGGCGCGCGGCGAGCGAGAGCGAGGCGAGCGGGCACGGGGAGGGGGAGAGCGAGAGCGCGGCGAACGGACACGGGGAGGGGAGCGAGAGCGCGGCGAACGACTGCGCGATCCTCCCCTCACTGGCGACTTGGAGGGCGACCGCCTTGGGCTGCCACACGAGTAAATTCGTCAACATCTTAATCCTACACCCGAAATATAACAAAAATTGCGCGGGGGTACCTGTCCATGTTAAGCTCAGGTACTCCGGTATCCGACTGTACCGAGAATCCATGAAAACTTGAGCGAGCTGATCAAGTAAAAAATTAAGTTGGGTGGATGTACCATTGTGTTTGGAGTTCGATCAAATCGGAACCCAGCCGGAATAAAGGGCACCATAACGTTCTCTGGAATGATAAGTATGCGCGGAATGCCATGTTCCGGATCAACGGACTGCAGAAAATTCGAAGCCCGCGTCTTGTTACATGTCTACAAGAAAGTTGCAACCGATAAAGTGGGACGAGAGCAAGGCAGTGAAGACACACGTCTCACCGCGACAAGAAGCCACGGCACGCAGAACGGCCGCTTCTCCTCGATTCATAGAGAAAGATATGTTGCGTTCTGGGTTTAGACAGGGTGGCGCTGCGACGGCATGGGGCCTAAGGACCTCATCACGTGTAGCGTCTACATCGCCAGCGATGCTGTACCCCCAGGCGGTCAGGAGATGGCTCGCATCTTCTTCTTCGAGCATCGAGGCCTCGACATCCAACAAGAAGCTGATTGAGTGGCTCAAGACCCAGCAGAAGCTGCTCCAGCCCAGCGCCGTGCACATCTGCGACGGATCGGTCGAAGAGGACGAACGCTTGAAGAGCGAGCTCGTCAAGAGCGGCACGCTCATCAAGCTCAACGAGGCCAAGCGGCCCAACTCGTACCTCGCTCGCTCGGACCCTGGTGATGTTGCGCGCGTAGAGGGCCGCACGTACATCTGCTCGACCAACAAGGCCGACGCAGGCCCGACCAACAACTGGGTGGATCCGAAGGAGATGCGCGCCACGCTCAACGGCAAATTCGCTGGCGCGATGAAGGGCCGCACGATGTACGTGGTCCCCTTCAGCATGGGTCCCGTGGGCTCGCCCCTCTCCAAGATCGGCGTGGAGATCACCGATTCCCCCTACGTCGTGGCCAACATGCGCATCATGACGCGCATGGGCAAGCAGGTAATCAATCAATTCATTTCTTTTGTATATTCAATATTTATTTGTGTATTCTTCCACAGTCCTATTTATTTACATCTTATTATTGTTTTTAATCGGCGTATTTCATATAAGCAATAAGATGAAGTGTTTTTACAAGAACGTCAGTCGTGCTACTTAGCTCATGGGCTTCTTGGACTCTAATGACGTAAGTGAGCTGTGACGGTCGGAACCGTGGGACCTTTCTGCTTTTGGCTAACTTTGGAGCTCGGTCGCAGGTGTTTGATGCGCTGGGCAGCGACGGCGACTTCGTGCCGTGCGTGCACTCTGTGGGCGCGCCGCTGCAGCCGGGCCAGAAGGACGTGCCGTGGCCGTGCAACCCCGACAAGTACATCGTCCACTACCCCGAGACCCGCGAGATCTGGTCCTACGGCTCCGGCTACGGCGGCAACGCCCTCCTCGGCAAGAAGTGCTTCGCGCTCCGCATCGCCTCCGTCCAGGCCCGTGATGAAGGTACCTTACCGAGTACCCGTGCTTTACTACCACTACTGCTACCACTACTGCTGCTTATCGCAACCTAACCCTGTGGCGGTGGTGTGGTGTGGGAACCAACAAAAAAAGGCTGGCTGGCCGAGCACATGCTCATTCTGGGCATCACCAACCCCGAGGGCAAGAAGAAGTACATCGCCGCCGCGTTCCCCTCGGCTTGCGGCAAGACCAACCTCGTACGCACGCCCCGCCCGCTCCCCGTACGCAGCATACATGTATTAATTTGCGCGCGCGCGGTGCACATTCACCAGGCCATGATGAACCCCACCCTCCCCGGATGGAAGATCGAGACCGTCGGTGACGACATCGCCTGGATGCGGTTCGGCAAGGGTGCGTTACGCCTCCACCACCGCCACCGACCGCCACCTCACCGAGAGAGTGCTGGTGTGCCGCTTTCTCACACGTCGTGTCCTGTGTTGTGCGTGTCGTGCGGTTGCCCCCCCCCTCACCACCCACAGATGGTCGTCTCTACGCGATCAACCCGGAGAACGGATTCTTTGGCGTGGCGCCCGGCACGTCGATGTCGTCGAACCCCAACGCCATGGCCACGACGGTCAAGAACGCGCTCTTCACCAACTGCGCCCTCACGGACGACAACGACGTGTGGTGGGAGTCGATGACCGACAAGCTGCCCGCGCACCTGATCTCGTGGAAGGGCAAGGACTGGACGCCCGAGTCCAAGGAGCCCGCGGCCCACCCCAACGCCCGCTTCACCACGCCCGCCGACCAGTGCCCTGTGCTCGACTCCAAGTGGGAGGACCCGCAGGGCGTGCCCATCTCGGCCATCCTCTTCGGCGGCCGCCGCCGCACGGTGGTGCCGCTCGTGTACCAGGCCTTTGACTGGGAGCACGGCACCTACATTGGCAGCTCGATCGGCTCCGAGGTCACCGCCGCGGCCGAGGGCAAGCGCGGCGAGATGCGACACGACCCGTTCGCCATGCTGCCCTTCTGCGGCTACAACATGGCCGACTACATGCAGCACTGGCTCAACGTCGGCTCCCGCTCCTCGGCCGACAAGCTCCCCAAGATCTTCTTCGTCAACTGGTTCCGAAGGTGCGTGCGCCGCATCTCTCAAGCTTTCTTTGGGTGGACGAATGGCTGATGACGATGACGGCGGTGGTGGTGATGTTCGCGCGCGCAGGGGAGCTGATGGCTCGTTCCTGTGGCCCGGCTACGGTGAGAACTCGCGCGTGCTGAAGTGGATCTTCGACCAGACGGACAACAAGTCCGGTAATGGTACGTGCAAACAGCCGACCCGCGCTCGAGCTCGAGCTTCTTGCATCATTTCTATTCATTTTGTTGTTGTTGTTGTTGTTGTTGTTGTGGTTTTCTCACGTCAATTCCGGTGTGGTGGGAATGATGAATGCGCGTGCAGCCAAGGAGACCCCGATCGGATACATCCCGAAGGAGGGCGCCCTGGACACGTCGGGCCTCGACGTCTCGCCGGAGGCCATCAAGCAGCTCTTCGAGGTCAACCCGTCCGACTGGAAGGAGGAGGTCCAGGAGATGAGGCGATACACCGAGCAGTTCGGCGATCGCCTGCCCGCCGGCCTCAAGAAGCAGATGGACGCCCTCGAGAAGCGCCTCGCCTAAAGCGCCCTTCCGCCAGCCAACCGCCACCTGGCGATCTCTGTCTTTGAATATTTTCCTCAACTTTGCACAAATCGTTTCTCGTCCAATTTCTTGTTTTTGGCCTGGCGTGAAGAAGATGGAGCTGGAGGGGGTAGCAGCTGCAGATGCCGAGGGTCATGGCATTGCGGACCAGGCCCAGCTACGCGAGGAGGAGGTCATCACGGGCATCCCCCAGTTCGAGATACAATGCGCCCTCCTGCAGCGGCACGTTGCTCGCGCCTACTTCCTCGAAAACGTGTGCATCTACCTCCCCGCCCCCTTTTGCATCCATTGCCCTGGCAGACCCCCCACACACATGTGTGCCTGTGCTCATTGCACGCGCACGCAACAAACAGGTGGACCTCCTGACGGCGGGGCAATACCGCGACGTCGTGGCCGAGCGAGCCGTGGCCGGCCTGTGCGGCTTCCCCCTGTGCCCCAACTACCTCACCACCGCACACGCTGTCCCCGTTCGTCTCCTCCTCCTCTTCTGCTACGAGCGTGTGCGTGTTTCTCACATGTTCGGAGGCGGGATGACAGGCCCAGCGATACCGGATTTCGCTGCGCGAGAAGCGGGTCTACGACGTGAGCGACCGGGTCCTGTTCTGCTCCGACGAGTGCCTCGTCAGCGCCCGGCTGGAGGAGGTCCACCTCCGATCCGACAGCAGCGACCCTCTCCCGCCCAAGCGGTAGCTGCCTCCCCCCCCGAGGCCTTATCGCCGAGTGCTTTCCTTACCCTACCCGTGCCGTGTGTCGTGTGCAGCGGCTCGGCGGTGGCTGGGCAGATCACAGAGCGAGCGGAGGCGGGTGCGCCCTCCACGGATTTCCGAGACACGGGCGACGTCGAGGGCTACGTGTGGGGCAAACTGCTCAAGGGCACCGGCGCCGGCCCGGTGCATCCGAGCCGAACGCGCAGTCCGCTCCCCGCCGCGCTCCCGCGGCGACCCGCCCACCCGCCCGCGGCGTCGCGCACCTCCCCGGCCAAGAACGACGCCGCCAAGAGGGTGAAGCTGGTGGGGTCGTCATCGGGCGGCGGCGACCGGGTGAGCCGGCCGGGCATGCGCGAGGAGGAATGGGTGAGCGAGGGACCCGCCATCCTCCAGGGCATCATGGGCAAGCGGCGCACGGTGCAGGTGATTCCCCTCGAGGAGGCCTTCCGCCTGGTCAAGATCCAGGACGAGCCCACCTTGGCCCCAATGCCCACCCCGCCGCGCACACAGAAGCCGTCGCAGCAACAGCAACGAACCGGCGCTGCAGGGGACACAGGCGACGCGGTACGTTGGTATCGCTGTACGTTGCTCCCGCACGCCGATGTCATGCTCACGAAGAGGCGCAGGACGCGTATGGGGAAGAGGGCGATAATAATATCACATCGGACGAAGAGGAGGACGAGGACGAAGACAACTTCATGCCGGAGCCGATGCTCTCCCTGTTCGCGCAGCTGTGGACCACCCTCTCCGACTGGCCCTCGTCACGCTCGCGCGCGTTTCTCAAGCGAAGCGGCGGCTCGCAGGTGCGGCAGGCCATGGCACTCCTCCGGCCGTTGCTTCGCGATCGCTGACGAGTTGTGTCAACGCGTTCACGCGATCTTTGCTGCGTGTGGCGCCATCACAGGGCGAGGGCACAGCGGAGCTCATGACCAAGGAAGCCGACGAAGAAGAACCGCCCCAGCCGCCGCGCGACATCATGCCCATCAGCGACGCGGTACGTTGGGACGCGCCGGGCCGCCACCACACAATTCTCAGCATTCCGCCGCTTTCGCTCTTTTGCGAACGTTTGTTTATTTGTTTGTTGCGCTCTCTGAATCAAGGACCAAGAGCGGGCGAGGGGCCGAACGATCCAGGAGATGCTGCTGCGCGAGCTGCCCGCCGTGTGCGCCCAGCTCCGCATCTCGGTCCCGCTTCACAGCACCCTGTCGCGCCTTCTGGAGACCTTCGCCTTCCCTCGGCCCCTCATGTTCAAGCCACAGCAGCTGCGCCTCGTTCTCATCGTCCTGCTCGACGTGTACGTCGCCCTTGTGTCGTGTCGTGTTGCGTGTCGTGTCATTCATTGGTCGTGTCGTGTGCCATACGGGAATCTGCAGCACTGACGCAATCTCTGCTCTGCAGGCTCGCCGCGCGTGGCGACGACGTGTTGCGGGCGCAGATGCAGGCCAGCGACGCACAGAAGCGGAGCCTGCTTGCCGCCCACAACCTCTCGCCCGACGAGTGGCAGCTCCTCGTCGAACTGTTCCTGTAAACAAAAACAACAGGCGAAAAAAGAAAGGCAAGAACGAGCTGCCAGATTTCGCAGGAAGTGCCGAATTGCAGAAGACGGGGGGGGGGAGAGATCAAAAGAAACTCGCAGCTTGGCTACAACAGAAGAGCATAATTTGTAGATATATTGAGAGAGATGGCCAGCGAGGCGTTCCAGCGTGGATGCAGTCTGTTTGTGGATGAGGACTTTGAGGAGGCCCTTGGCGCGTTCAGCCAGGCCATCGACCTTGCCGGCCCTGCCTCCAAGGAGACGGCAGAATACTACGTGAAGCGTTCGGCGTGCCACGCGAAGCTGCAGCACCACACCGACGCCGTGGCCGACGCCAACGCGGCTCTCGCCATCGATCCCCAGAACCCTCGTGCCCTTCTGCGTAAAGGGTACGCGCATGCTTTTTCCTTGGATTTATTAAATTTAATCGTATAAAACATTCAATTAATTGCTGACGATCTCACCGCTTCATCTAGTACTGCGTGCTTCGCGTTGGACGAGTTCGAGGCCGCCAGGGAGGCCTTCCAGGCGGGACTTGCCGTAGAGCCCGCCAACAGCACCTTCAAGACCTGGCTCCGCAAGTGCGAGGCCGAGCTTGCTGGTAGGGCACCTTTCTTCTTTCCTTCTTCTACTTCTTTTGTGGGCGCGTGGCACCACCACCGTCTGACTCCCTACTTTCTTCTTTTGGTGCATCGCAGGCGAGGAAGGACGCGAAGCTGAAGCTTCTTCGGGCGAGGCGGCTGCTCCTGCTCCCGCACAGCCTGCCACTACTGCCCCTGCTCCTGCCCAGGAGGCGCCCAAGGAAGCCGCAGCTCCCGCACCGGCGCCCACACAAGCGGCCGAGGCTGCTGCTCCTCCCAAGGAGCCCCGGGTCAGGTACGCGATGCGTCACTGTGAGTGGGCAGCCAACGTGCGATGAGGGGGTTGAAAGCTGTGTGAAGGCTCACGATGGGCGTGCATGCGGTGCAGGCACACGTGGTACCAGAACGAGTCGTTCGTGTACGTGACCTTCTATCAGCGCGACTTGAAGCAGACTGACGTCAAGGTCCAGTTCGAAGAGAAGGAGGTGCGGATGCAGCCAAACAACGGCCGATTTAGGATCTTGGCTCCCTCGCTTACATCTACCGTTCACACGCACACACACACACCAGCTCGACGTGACGCTGGAGCTGCCGGACGGCACGTCGTTCGTGTTCGACGCCGAGCTGTGCGATGCCATCGTGCCCGACCAGTGCAAGATCGCCATCAACCGGGCCAACGTGGAGATTAAGCTCAAGAAGGCGCGCTCCGGCCAGTGGGCCAATCTCGAGGCCAAGCCCGGTGCCGTCGTCAACCCCTGGCCCGACACCTCGAGTACGTCTCCATCTCCATCATGTCTTCTTCTTCTTCTTCACTGCTGCGTGTCTCTTCTAAGGTTGACGTGTGTCTCTTCATATTCGTCGTCATCATCGAAAAGGCGCCAACAAGCACCTGTACCCGTCGTCGTCGCGCAAGAAGCTGAACTGGGACCAGCTGGAGAAGGAGGTGGAGGAGGAGAAGCTCGAGGGCGACGCGGCCCTCAACAAGGTGTTCCAGGACATCTTCGCCGGCGGGTCGGAGGAGCAGCGCCGGGCCATGATCAAGTCCTTCACCGAGTCTGGCG